CGCAATTTCCTTTTGTTGGTACTGGTGCAGGGTGGAAGTCCCGTTCGCCATTGCATGAGATGGGTAAATGGAATTGCATCTTGGTTGCCAGACGAATTAAGATTCAGTGATCACGGCTACTAGTCTCCCTAGGTCTTCCAGGACTTGGCCGATCTTTCACTTCACTTCAATAGCCGCGTTGTCACTGATCAAGTTAGTACCGATGTTGCAATATGTCATACATGCAAATGATTCTTCTGAAAGCCTACGTCTTGCCATGTCAAGAAAGTATCATTTCAGTACTGTCGTCTTTTAAGCCAGTTTATACAACTCACCAAATCTGTGACACCACTTCTAATCCCTTACAGTGATTATAAGCCAGTCTTTAGGTTTTACATTAAGGATCCAATGCAAAAAAGTGGGAAACTCAAGTGGGTATAAATAAGTTACATTAAACCAGTGCCCCATTGGAAATGTCCTTCCTTCTAAGACTGTTGGTTCATTATGACAGCTGATTCATAAAACAATGCACTGAAGCTGCCTTGGGCATAATGTGAACAAGAATAATTTAGGCGATTGTCATATCATTTGGATAGTCGAGTTCACTAAATACGTAGGAGAAACGGTGACTCACTTTCTGTAATGGGCCATACGCTGCTCTGCACATCTCGAGTAGTCTCCCTTATCGTGCCAGGACCGAACATTTGGCGGATCGAATTCAATAGCATCCCTAGTTACATCATGGTGCTTGACTGCCTGTCATTTCTGAAATCTTGAATGTCAAAATATCGAAAACGTCTAAGACCTGATGTCATCACTGGTTTTCAGTGATCCAACCATTTAATTTCATAACTGTTTTGCCCTTTACATCCAGTGAAAACGGATGACTCGGGTTTAATGACTCTCAGGTACTGACATTCATAGTTACCACAATAAAGGATCAATACTGTTCAAAGTGGCGTTACGTAAAACTCACTTGATCGGTCGACAGTCCAGCTGAGTAGCACCTAATCACCTGCGTACGTGGTCATATTATTCGTCAAATGTCCAAAATACACACCACTTAGGAAGCCCCGATATTCCAGCAGACCCTATATGGCAGTACCAGTGTTAAAAATCATCTCGTTTCAGCAACTGATGACGAGTATTGGTGGAGTAATATCAATCCCTCTGCCTACTTGCACAGTCATTTGTGCAGATGACCTTCAGAGGTAAAGCCTGGGGTAATAAGCATCTCGTTCTTTGTGTGCGGGATAGGGACGATCCCCAGTGTTTTATACCGGACACAAATCCTCACGTGTTAAGTGTGGATCAAGGGAAATTATGTTCCTTACAACATTTCAGATTACCGAGTATCCAAGTGTCGTCTTTAGAAAATGGCAAGGCTCTATAAGGAAATTAGGTTCCCTACACAATTTCAGATTACCGATTATCCATGTGTCCTCTTTAGAAATGGCAAGGCTCTCTAAGGGAAATTGTGTTCCCTACACAATTTTAGATTACCGAGTATCCAAGTGTCGTCTTTAGAAAATGGCAGAGTCTCTGTAAGGGAAATTAGGTTCCCTACACAATTTCAGATTACCGATTATCCAAGTGTCGTCTTTAGAAAATGGCAAGGCTCTATAAGGGAAATTATGTTCCCTACACAATTTCAGATTACCGAGTATCCAAGTGTCGTCTTTAGAAAATGGCAAGTCTCTGTAAAGGAAATTAGGTTCCCTACACAATTTCAGATTGCCGATTATCCAAGTGTCGTCTTTAGAAAATGGCAAGGCTCTATAAAGGGAAATTAGGTTCCCTACACAATTTCAGATTACCGAGTATCCAAGTGTCGTCTTTAGAAATGACAAGGCTCTATAAAGGGAACTTATTACCCTCACGGGTGAGGAGACCCCGTGTAATATCTTTTTGATATTTGCACAGTGTGCAATTTAGTGATTCTCGACGTTGTTTGGTTGATCGTATATTTGTACATTTTCATTGGATGCCGGAACTAATTTCACACACTACGTTCATTCATAAAGTTTCATCGATTCATTGATAAATTGACATCAAGTAATGTAATCACACATTCCGAGATCTAAAAAAGAAAACATTAAGGTTAAAGAATATGAATATTCTTTTTATTAGACGTTATTATTTTGGAATATAACAGCGTTATAAATAGTAGTCTTCTTAAATTATATAATCTTTAAAAAAAACACCAAACAATCGTTTGCATTGTTTGTAAACAAACATGGCCGCCGTTAGGCTAACCCCGATCAAGGTCACTTACCTAGTTAAAGTTGACGGTGACCAAATAGGAAGAGTGATAAGAATTTTACAGCCCTTGAATTCCCACAACCTGTTTGTTGTTGAAACTGAATTCGGGGAAATAGAAACAGCAAGATACCGACTAAAGATGTTATCTGAAAGTGTAACAAGTAAGTCGGACACGGCGTCCATGCCATCGAACCAGAAAACAGCTCCTTTCTTACCGGAATCAGTGCTAAATGTTCTTCTTCAAGATGACTTTTTATATCCATGCATTCCTAATCAATCTGAGAGGTTGGTCCCAGTAGCCGATTGACACATTTCATAGACTCGGATTCCGACTAGAGTTATCCTTCTTGGAACTGCTGTACTCTACTAAGACGAGAGTGTAACACGCCTTCCACAGAACAAAATGTTGTTTAATCTTCAAACTTGTTGAGTTTCTTGACAGAAAACTTTTTCTACATGTATTCGTGGGATGGTTGTCTTTTAGATTTCCCAACTTTAAACCGTTGACTTTCCCAAAAATTGACAGGTTTTTGCCAGAGTGTGTTTTAACACTACACCGTCACCCGTCACTAGAAAACACGTCAGTCGTGAATGAACGATGTTCCGTCGCACTGACTTGATCGAATAAATGTTTAGCTCGTATTAAGTTCAATGATATATTTAAAAGATCATTTTTATCATATTAACAAATGTTAATTAATTATTCCAGGCATAATAATTTTGTTGTATTTTAAAGCGATTTTATGATGTACTATTTCCATAGCGTAGTTATGTTATTACCGCTGGAGAAGTTAGGTTCAATACGCGCATGAATACGAATCAGCTGTTTAAGGTCACAAATTGTTACAAAGTCCTTTTAAGACCACAATTGTCATTTACTTTATCTATGAATCTTATTTCGTTTTAGCATGCCAATTCCGTTTCAACCTACATTTTGCATCATTCCAACTTTTAGGATCCAATATGGCGGCACCCATGTGGTGCATGCCTCTGTTGTACCCTTCACCAGAATACAAAGTTAATGGTACCTGACCTTGGTTTTCCTTTGAACCACTGAACAAGTCTAACCTGGTCCCGTGCATACCTGCACCGTGTTTTCATGGTCCCGCGAGGCGGATATATAAAGTGGAAAATGGCGTCAAAGGAGCACACCTCTCAAGATCCAATAGCACCGGTAAGACAGTCACAGAGGGAAAGTAAACTACCCTTGCACCTCAGGGAGGACTATGTGTTATCAAACCCACCTATGGATGTTGATGAGGAAGTTGCTGTAACAGAAGCAAACAAATCTGTGACTCAAAGAAGCAGAAAGTCAGTAGAGTCATTGAAATCAGTGAATAGAACTGGAAGAAATAGGAAATCAGAAAATTCAAAATCCACAATATCTGGCAACAGCTCTGTATGTAGCAGAACTTCCCAAGGATCAATAAGATCTGTGACCTCACAGCTGTCAGACAAGCAAACTGCAAGGTTAGAAAAACTAAAGAAATTATCCAAACTAGAGGAATTGCAAAGAAGATTTGAGGAGGATATCCTCACACAGGAGGAATTAACAAGATGTGACGGCATAGCACGAAAGGCACAGGAAGAGGCTGAAATGGAAATTCTAAAGACGCAGAGGAGGGCTCACGAGATAGAACGTGAAGCCCAACGAGAACGAGGCGACTAGGAACCAAGATCACCCACTTAAGGAGAATTCGGGAAGCGGAAGCCGAGATTAAAAGAGGCAAGTTTCATTAACTGTATGATAAATGAAGATTCCCCTGTTGTGATGAGCACCACTGTTCCATCTCCCAGTGCTGTCCACCCTACCGTCCAGACACCCTCCAGTGTACTCCAGCTCCCAGTGCTGTCCACACTTCCGTCCAGACATCTTCCAGTGTACCAGCTCCCAGCGCTGTCCACACTTCCGTCCAGACATCCTCCAGTGTACCAGCTCCCAGTGCTGTCCACACTTCCGTCAGACATCTTCCAGAGTACCAGCTCCCAGCTGTCCACACTTCCGTCCAGACATCCTCCAGTGTACCAGCTCCCAGTGCTGTCCACACTTCCGTCCAGACACCCTCCAGTGTACTAGCTCCCAGTGCTGTCCACTCTTCCGTCCAGACACCCTCCAGTGTACCAGCTCCCAGCGCTGTCCACTCTTCCGTACAGACACCTTCCAGTGTACCAGCTTCCAGCGCTGTCCACTCTTCCGTCCAGATATCCTCCAGTGTACCAGCTTCCTGTGCTGTCCATACACCAGTCATGATGTCTCCGGGTGTGGTCCACTCTCCCATCGTGATGTCCTCTGGGATACCAGGTCCTGATGCGATCGACAATCATGTCTTGATGCCATCAAGCATACCAGCAGCCATGTCAGCCCAGACATCGTTTGCAAACTTTATTGACCAAGCATCACCAAGAATACACAAGTACCCTTATCAACCATGTTACTCACAACCAAACTGTGCTGATCCACATTATGAAACCCACAGGCAGAATTTGATAAACTCTAATTCAACCTTGAGTGACACTGTGAATGTTAATCCAATTCCCTATGACTTCCACCCTGTCAACCCACAAGTGACACCAATCATGTCTCAACTATTCATTCCAAGGCCAAACCTACCTAACTTCAATAGTGGAAAGGAAAGGGATTTTGCCCTACTGAAAATAGCCCTGGATAATCTGGTAAGCGTCCATCCAGGCTTGACAGAGCAACTCAAATATCAAATTCTACTTGACAGGCTTGGAGGTCCCCCTAAGAGACTAGCTTCATGCACGACGAGAGGCCCTTCACAACCACACTCCAAGCATTGAAGGAGAGATATGGACAGCCACGACAGCTTGTTCAGAGTGAATTAGGAGCCCTTATGGGAACACCTGTACTGAGGTACGGGGATCTCGATGCATTTGACAGTTTTGCTCTATCCGTACGTTCTTTAGTAGGAATGCTGAAGTCAGTGGAAAGTGGAAATGGATCTGAGCTTAAATGCGGTTCGCATGTCGACAGATTACTTGGAAAATTGCCACCAATTACAGAGACAGCTTTGTAGAGCACTGTATCAAAGACTCAATCCTTCGATCAGACAGTGACCAGACATATACGTTATGTCACTTAGCCGACTGGTTACAGACCAAATCACGTGCCATGCGCATTGCCAGCCAGGCTGCCACAGTCTACAAGCCGGAGACCCCAAGAGAGCATCGGAAGCCTCCACCGCCTCGGTTTGGCAATAGACAACCTAATCCAACAGCTTTATTCCTGACCAGGGAGGCCAAGACTTCATCTGTGAATAGAGCTAAGCCATTTTGCCCATATTGTATTAGTGGGGACCACTTCCTGAATGGGTGTCCTGAATTCAAGAAGCTGTCATTAAGTGAGATTTCCAAGTGGCTGGGTCAAAACAGATGCAGCAGGTGTGGCCGAAACCACAAAGAAAGGGAATGCACCTTGAGAAAGCCATGTCACATTTGTAAGCAGTTGCATCTAACAGTCTTACATGATGCCCTTCAGCAGACATCATCCAAAGTTTACTACATGGATCAACCATCACATCCTGCACTCATCATGTTAAAGATTGTGCCAGTAATCCTACATGGTCCCTGCAGCACAGTATCGACGTACGCAATCCTTGATGATGGATCTATGCGAACCATGATATTGAAATCAACGGCTCAGCAGCTTCAACTCACTGGGAAGCAGGATTCCATTCTCCTTACAACAATAAGTCAAGAATCAGTGCACTGTGGTGGACAATCTGTGAAACTCAGATTTCGTCAGCAGACCAGCCAGCCAATAGGTTTGACATCGACAATGCCTTCACTGCAGACAATCTATGCATGTCAGAGTACACATATCCCATAGAGGATATGCAGCAGTGCTGGACTCATCTGGAAAACCTTCCTCTACCAAAGATAAATGGAGCAGTGCCATGTATTCTGATAGGATCCGACAACTCAAAGCTGATCTTGCCTATAGAGCCAGTACGCTTTGGTAATTCAGATGCTCCTAGTGGTGTCCACACCAACCTTGGCTGGACTGTCCAAGGTCCGTCGATGATGCTAGGGCAGTCGAAGAGGAACACTTGTCTGCTGAACCAGACTCGACCAGCTGATCTCTCGCCATCTCACTGTGTGGAGAGACTTTGGCAATTGGACACTCTTCCCTTTACGAGTAAACAGGTCATTCGCTCCAAACAGGACAAGATGGCACTGGAAATACTAGATTCTCAGACCACAAGAATTGAGGTGGATGGCGTAAGTCACTACGCAACCCCACTCTTACGCTCTCATGATGGTACCCGTTTCAATGCCAGAGTGGAAGCTGTTCTCCCAACTCTGAAGCGTACTGAACGACGACTAAAGGACAATTCTGATATGGCCAGAACGCACAATGAGGCTATTCGGAAGCTTGATGAATCTGGATTTGTGAAAAAACTCACTGATGACGAGATAAGAGATTCGAAAGAGTCCTGGTACATCCCTCACCATGTGGTTGAACATAATGGAAAACATCGCCTTGTGTTCAATTGTTCATTCGAGTTTGAATCTAAAAATCTTAACAATCACTTGTTAGTAGGCCCTACCATTGGATCATCACTTCTAGGAGTGCTTCTCCGGTTCCGACAGCATGCAGTGGCAGTAACTGCCGACATCAAAGCTATGTTCCACCAAATCAGACTGCTTCCACCTGATCGACCCTTGCTTCGTTTCCTGTGGCGAGACATGCAATGCGATCGTCCACCAGACGTGTATGAATGGCAAGTTCTGCCCTTTGGTACTACCTGCTCCCCCTGCTGTGCAAGCTATGCACTGTTGAAACATGCAGCTGAAAACCAGACAGGCAATGAGGAAGTGTTCAAATCAGTGAGTGAATCCTTCTACGTAGATAACTGTTTGGACAGTTTCGAGAACCAAACTCAGGCAAAGCAGCTTGTCACCAAGATGCGAAATGTGCTCACAGACGGTGGATTCAACATAAGACAGTGGGCAAGTAATGTTCCTGAGGTTGTCGCCGATCTCCCTGCTGAAGCGAGGTCCGAGGCCGCAGACCTGTGGCTCAACTTTGGACAGGGTGAACCTAGAGAACCGACTTTGGGCTTAGGCTGGGACTGTCAGTCAGATGAACTGACCTACAAACACAGAAATGTAGACTACCCCAATTTAACCATGAGAATGGTATACAAAGTGCTAGCAAGCCAATATGACCCCATCGGGTATCTGTCACCGTTCATTGGACAAGCCAAGGTCATAGTACAAGACTTATGGAAGTCAAAGAGAAACTGGAACGATTCCATTGAAAATGGGCAACTTCGTGACAGGTGGCTTGCTTGGGAAAGTGAGCTGGGACTCATCCCTCTGATTACTCTACCAAGGTGTTATATTCCTCAAGGGTTTGATGCAGACGATTCAACTACACAATTACACATCTTCTGTGACGCATCCGAAAGGTTATATGGATCAGTCGCCTATTTGCGCTCAGAAGATCGACATGGAAGGGTTCATGTCAGCTTCGTGATGTCGAGATCCAAGGTTGCACCGAAGAGACAGTTAACCATACCACGGCTAGAGCTGTGTGCAGCTCTGACAGGTGCTCAGTTAGCAGACCTGTTGCAGTGTGAAATAACGCTACCAATCCAAGCTACTTATCTATGGAGTGACTCTACTACTGTGCTCACATGGTTGCAGTCGGAATCTTGCAGATACAAGGTATTCGTTGGAGCCAGAGTAGCTGAAATTCAGAACCTCACCGACACACATTGCTGGAGGTATGTGAACACACAGCAGAACCCAGCTGATGATATCACTCGAGGCCTGAGTGTCAAAGACCTTGTTGAAGAATCCAGATGGAGAAATGGACCTGCCTTCCTCCGACAGTCAGCAGATGAATGGTCTGAATCTCCATCAACAGGCAGTGACGAGCCAGCAGAACTTAGGAAATCTGCCATGTTGTCAACGATTGTGACACAGACACCCACTTTGCCTGACCCAACACAGTATGAATCATGGAAAGTATTCATCTCTGATGTAAATGAAGCCCTTGACGGGGCGGCCCCTAAAGAGGAAACTAAGACACTGACTCCTGAACATGTTGAGCAAACTGAGAACTATCTGTACCGCCAAGTACAACAACAGTGCTTCTCAAAGGACTTTGATTGCCTCAAGTCTGGTAAGCAATTACCACACGATAGTCGGCTGATTCAACTTGATCCTGAATACGATCCAGAACTTGACTTGATCCGTGTAGGTGGCAGACTCCGCCGAGCTGAATCCCTGGATTCGAATATCAAGAATCCCATAGTTCTTGATCCAAACCACGAGATCACCAAACTGGTTATCAGAGATCATGACGAGAAACTCTTGCATTACGGTCCGGAACATCTCTTTGCCGAGATCCGACGCAGATTCTGGGTCCTCCGTGGCAGAGAGGCCATACGACGACATCAACGTAAGTGTGCTACCTTCCGGAAGTGGCGTTCAAACCCTGCAACTCAGAAGATGGCTGACCTACCACCAGCCCGTCTCCGACTCTTCAAACCAGCCTTTTACTCAACTGGAGTAGACTGTTTTGGCCCGATGCAGGTGAAGATAGGACGTCGTTTAGAGAAACGATGGGGAGTGATTTTTAAGTGTATGACTACCCGAGCAGTGCACCTAGACCTCCTTGAGTCTATGGATTCAGATGCTTTCCTCATGGCGTTCCGCCGCTTTGTATCCCGAAGGGGTAAACCTCATGAACTCTTGTCAAACCAGGGCACCAACTTCAAAGGTCCTAAATCAGAATTACAGAACGCATGGTCTGAAATGGAACCAGAACTACGTCACTACCTTGTCAACCAAAAGGTAGAATTTGTGTTCAACCCTCCAAGTGCACCCCATCATGGAGGCGTGTGGGAGAGGGAGATCAGATCAGTCAAACATGGCCTCAGAGTGTCACTTGGTCAACAGACTGTTACCGAAGCAACCTTGCGCACTGTCTTGTGCGAAGTCGAAGGCATTCTCAACTCAAAGCCACTTTCCTACGTGTCATCAGATGCTAGAGATTTGGACCCAATCACACCCAACATTCTCCTAATGGGTCGGCATGACACGTCTTTACCTCAGGTTGTGTATCCTGCGGACCAACTCCTAAGCCGGAAGAGATGGAGGCACAGCCAGGTCCTAGCGGACCACTTCTGGACCCACTTCATAAAATCCTATCTGCCCGACATGCAGCTACGGAGCAAATGGCAGAAACCAAGAGTCAACATCAAGGAAGGAGATGTCGTCATGATTGTTGACAATCAGTCAATCCGTGCCCAGTGGCCAGTGGGACGTGTGACCCAAACTCACCCAGGACAAGATGGTCATGTTCGGACGGCCACAGTAACTGTTAAGAACAAGGACTATACGAGGGCTGTGGCCAAACTCGTCCCTCTGCCAGAATGTCCAGTGGACCCAAATGACCCTCGTTAAAATAATGTTCAGTGCCTCGCCAAGGCTCGGCACTGTGAACATTATTTCAACTTAGGCATATTTCCCGTAATCACTCGTACCTCGTTGGTTATTCTCTAATTATGTTCCCTACACAATTTCAGATTACCGATTATCCAAGTGCCGTCTTTAGGAAATGCCAAGGTTCTATCATATAGATGAATGTTTTGGCTTTACAGTTTGTATTAATTCTGTTTATTGCGATCATTTCAACATGTGTCTTTTATGATTTTTTCTGTCGACTATTTAATGATCAATGCTATGTGTTTCTCTATAGTTGACGTTATCATTTATGCTTTTTTTTGTTATTTCAAATCAATACTGTGGACCATGTGAAATAAAACATTAGACATTTAGACATTTGTTAATATAATGTAGTCCAAAAACAGGCACATATAAGTAAAAAATAGACAGTTCTGTCTATTACAGGTATATAGTTTGATAAAACTACGACGTTTATATAATTTCTTTATCTTGCTTCGAGAAACAAATTTCAGATTCATAAGAGGAAGCATAACATGCTTCGTTATGAATTCACTTGACATTGTAGTTATAAATGTAATTGCGCGTTTTAATATAAGGTAAAGATTACAATTTGATAAAGATCTTCTTAAATTACATATACACATCCTCCTTTCAAGTTAGATTATACAAATAACACCATTCAAGCTTATTGTTTTCGGGGGATTTAAGAAGTCTGATCACAGTGTATTTTTCTTCACTACGTTATCTGCCATTGTCAGCTGAATGAAACACCCATACAATTATAAGTTCTTACATGCGCATACAACGCGGCTTTTGTTCAAGTTAAATGTTTGTCAGTTTAAGTGTATTGGTAAATCACATCCCAAAACGGCTATAGTGTTTATGGTCGCTTCTTTGGATATACATAACTAAAATCATGATTCCACCTGACACAGGACATTACTTTGTTGACATATGGTCAGCAGGGTTATAAGAAAGAAACGCAGATCAAAAATATCTAACAAAACACCGTTACTGTGACGTATTGCAGTTCACTAGAATATAGTTTTAAAAAATACGTTTAAAGGAAATGGAAAACAATTTGCTTAGAATCAAAGACAATCCGAAAAAGACAGTTAATGTTTATTATTGCCATTTTCCTTACATTTACAAATTCACAAAAGACATAAGCAAAAAGCACTAATGCCTATTCCAGGAGATAACGAGGACGCAGATCACGTGATCCTGTCGTACCAGAGAGTCGAAAGCAAACACAAGTGATGCTAACATATACCATGATCGAGAAATTACCATGTACATTTTGAGTGATATCACAGCAATACTGACATTAAGCTGGTACGAAATAAGAATTGGCTATAATGAGAAAGAAGAGTGAGTGAGTACTAATATACGACGGGTTTTCTTCATATTCCAGCAAAAATCACATCAAGGAAAAAAAAGTAAGCTTCACACATTGTACCCATGTTGGGAATCGAACCCGGGTCTTCGGTGTGACGAGCGAAAGCTTAAACCACAAGCTATCCCAGCTCCCCTTCTAGGAAAGAAGCATATTCTAAATGTATAACAATTCTTTGAGTACTTGCTGCAAATCTGCACACGTTCTTTTTCCCTAGAGTACACATACATCCATAACTATACACCCATTATTACCCAGTTGTCTTAGGAACTCATATATTGTCCTGTGATTGTTGTTCGGTTATTATTCTCTGATCTTCTCATACGCTCTGGCCACCTGAAGCACCGTGAGGTCATCAAAATGTTTGCCAACGATCATCATACCGACCGGAAGTCCCTCAATACGACCGGAGTTGATGGTCAAGGCGGGATGTCCAGTGCAGTTGAAGGAGGCCGTATTCCCAAACATTGACAAGCCACGGTCAAGAATATCTGAATCCCAAATAATTCTAATGCTCATCTCAGTTACTGTGTGCAACCATGTTACACCAAAGAAGTTAAATAGGGACGATACGATCAAATATTGGTGAGGTGAGCGGTAATAGCTTGGTCACCAAACCTGAATTTGTAATGTATATATCTGCGTTACAGCATAAATAACGTATTTATAGTCGAATACCTAGATCCACAGGCTCGTTTGGTTGTCTTGTCCCTTTAACCAATGATTCAGAAATAAATAGCGTTAATCGGCGGGTTGCACCATACAGAGAAATGGTTTCTTTGAGGTCTTTAATCTTTCAGAATTCTTGCACATTTCAAGTAATGTTAGATCAGTACGTGTACCTTTCATACTTGCGTCTCTTCCAGGCAGCTTTGGTGGCAAATGTGTGGCTGTAGGCATGATAATGACGTCATATGTCTTTAAAACATCGTCATAGCGTTTCCTCAGCATCAGCGCCAGATTCTGAGCTTTGGAGTAGAACTTGCTTCCGTACTTCCCGTACATGTACTCCCCAAGAAGTGAGTATGTCTTGACCAGTGGGGACAACTCATGCGGTCGGGCTGCAAGACCTTTACTTAATGCTTCCAATAAACTCGTGGGATAGAATCCCTTCCAGGAGAAACCAAAACCTGAAATGTGTTTCGATAAATGGCATTATTGCTACATTGCTGGCGGAGGAAAAGCCAAATTCTTTATAGTCACAAATAGAAACAGGTGTTTTCCAAATAGGTACAACTGAGGGCCATTCCACTGCTGTTGCTGGAATAAAGCGTACTTCCCCACTGGCATCGGAACTTCATGAAGGTAAAGTATACCAAAAGGTTAATATATTACATGTGAAAATATTTTCATTTATTACTCACCGTTCCCTTTTAACATACAGTTGTAGGTCCCTTCGGTTGCTATCACGGACGCTATAGCAAGTCCTGTCACATGACAAAAGCAAAACTTACATTAACACATTCGTATAGCTCTCGTTAAAGTATGTTAATAAAATGGATGACATGACTTGACATTCAGTTTGGGTCCATGAACGCAAGCTATCACAGTGTAACACACACGCATGCACGCACGCACGCACGCACGCACGCACGCACGCACGCACGCCCTGCAAAAGATAAGCCCGGAATACGTGGTTTAATATTGTTCTCTGCACCTTCACAATGTCGCCATGTCTGTTTTCATTTAATAAGGGTTGATAGTCGATTAGCAGCAGAATACTCTCGGGCTCAAGCATGTCTGTAAGAATTCGACGCCAGATCTAAGGTGACAGTACAAAATCACAAAAAAAAATCAAGGAGAAGATCTTATTAACTTATAAAAACTAGCGTATCTTGTGTCGAATGCTCGTAATTTGGTGCGAAGAAGCACTGGTCGGGAAGAGGTGTGATGAACAGTTACATACCCATCCAATAATCCTCACAACACCACATCGTAGCATGATGTCCCATACTGACGAATGTTGCATTATCTAGGTGGTAAATGATCGATTGTTTTGCTACAAGTTTCTGGAATTTTTTACCGTCAGTATGTTCTGGGATAGACACATCCTCCACGTTCGCACCAGCAGAAGTCAGCTTCCGGGCGGCCATATTGACGACATCACACACAGCCGGACTGGTACACGTCTCAAAACCTTCTTTAAGCAGACCGATCTTAACACCCTTTATGCCGTCATCAAGCTGGGGATATACATTAATATATAAATTTCAAATGCCATCTTTGACTAAACATAAGTGTATTTTCGCACTTTGCAAACAATGGCTGTAAGTAAATACTGGTCTCTGATGGTAATAAACGTGAGTATTGTTCAATCAAACTAGACCATGACATAATGCGCTACATGTGGACACCGGGTGTCATAATTAGAAGTTTACTAACCTTTCTTTTGCATTCATTCGTTTTGTTCATTTGTCACTTGACACAACGATGTACTACCAACTGAATGTTTATCTCGACTCTGTGTACAACACAGATTTGAAGACAAATGGAGATCTTTTATAAGCAAGAAGAAATGCATTATGCAAATCTTTGAAGGGCATACATTTGCTATTCCTAAATATATACTATTCACTATACGGAAACGTATGTCAGATGATGTGCATACATCATGATTCTACATGTGTAGTCATATACTAATATGTATTTATTAGGCACCTGATTGCCAGCACACAAAGTCAGCCGCCTAACCCGATCAGCCACCGCGGCTTCCACAAAAATGGAAGTCGGACAACTGGTAAGTGTAAATTGGCATGGCTCCCACGGCCGATGGCTATGGACACACAATATGTACTTTACTGAGAAAGTCTATTGCCACATATAGCATATGCTGCTAAAGAATTTGTAAAAGTCAAGGTAAGATTGTTTCTGTCTTACTTTACTGAACCGCACATCTGCGTATGCCCATGTCCTCATCGCACTGCTGTGAGCTAATTGGTAACTGAGCAAGTAGGCATCGAAGTATGGAGCTAACAAAAACAAGTGCCTGTCAGGTGACCTACCACTTTTATCGGGATGGTTTGTCGAAGAGACATCATGTGTGATGCACTAACCTTCAATATGTAGTCTTGAGGATGAATCCTTCCTGACTGACGTGGATCTCTATTGTCGTCATCACCCGCTATGGCCTTTGGTGACAAAAAAACCTTTAATGAGCTTTCAAGGATTATTTTGTAGAGTATTATTTACGTAATTAGTCATAAACTGTAATTATATCTACACCCAGAACGCAATGGAACTGGTCTTCAGCAACCCATGCGTGTTATGTGTATTCGAACCAACGGGATACCATGGTGAAACTTACTGACTTGTCCATGTCATGGAATCCCAACTGTGTAGATCGATGTTCATGACGTCGACCACGAGACTGGATTATTTACAGACCGCCGTCATAAAACTGAAATATGGCTAGAGCGTGAAACAATAAACGATAAACAGATATACATCAAGCGCTGTTTCCCATACCTGTAACAGTAACGCGCAGTCTGTGACGGTTCTAGCCATGGGTCCGAGGACGTCCCTACAGGTCTCTATCGGCGCTGCCCCAGTGTAGGGTACCAGTCCGAATGTGGGCATCAACCCGACCACGCCTGTCCAGGAGGCAGGGATGCGGATGGACCCAAGCTGGTCAGCGCCAAGGGCCAGGTCAATCTCCCCAAGGCTAAGCTGACGACGAATTAAATAAGCATAAGATCAACTAGGGTGTGTGACATCACATCTGTGAACATACACTGCATTTATTGTTTGTGTCACATCACATCTTTGTGTATGCACTATATTCCTTGTATGTGTGTGTGATATCACATCTTTGTGTACACACTGAATCTTTTGTGTGTGTGACATCACATCTCTGTGTATACACTACATCCCTTGTATGTGTGACATCACACCTCTGTGTATACACTACATCACTTGTGTGTGTGATATCACATCTCTGTGTAGACACTACATCCCTCGTGTGAGTGACATCAAGCATCTGCCCATACACTACATCCCTTGTATGTGTGACATCACATCTCGGTGCATACACTGCACCCCTTGTGTGCGTGACATCATATCTCGGTGCTTACACTACATCCCTTGTGTGTGTGACATCACATCTCTGTGTACACACTGAATCCATTATATGTGTGTGTGGCATCACATTTGTGTACATACACCGCATCTCTTGTGTGTGTGTGATATCCAATCTCTGTGTACACACTACATCCCTTGTGTATGTGACATCACATCTTTGTGTACACACTACATCCCTTGTGTGTATGACATCACATCTGTGTATACACTACATCCCTTGTGTGTGTGTGACATCACATCTCGGTGTACACACTGAATCCCTTGTATGTGTGTGTGGCATCACATTTGTGTACACATACACCACATCCCTTTTGTGTGTGACATTACTTCTCTGTGCATACAGTACATCCCTTGTGTGTGTGTATGTGACATCCCATCTCTGTGTACACACTACATGTACATCCCTTGTGTGTGTGACATCAAGCATCTGTGCATACACTGCACCCCTGGTGTGTGTTTGTGACATCACATCTCTGTGTATACACTACATCACTTGTGTGTGACATCACATCTCGGTGCATACACTGCACCCCTGGTATGTGTGTGACATCACATCTCTGTGTATACATTACATCCCTTGTATGTGTGATATCACATCTCTGTGTAGACACTACATTCCCTCGTGTGTGTGACATCAAGCATCTGCCCATACACTACATCCCTTGTGTGTGTGACATCACATCTCTGTGTATACACTACATCCCTTGTGTGTGTGTGTGTGATATTCTGTGTGTGTGTGTGTGACATCACATCTCGGTGCATACACTGCACCCCTCTGTTGTGTGTGTCACATCTCTGTGACATCTTGTGTATGTGACATCACATCTCGGTGCATACACTGCACCCCTTGTGTGTGTGACATCACATCTCTGTGTATACACTACATCCCTTGTGTGTGTGTGACATCACATCTCTGTGTATACACTACATCCCTTGTGTGTGTGACATCACATCTCTGTGCATACACTACATCCCTTGTGTGTGTGACATCACATCTCTGTGTATACACTACATCCCTTTGTGTGTGTGTGACATCACATCTCTGTGTAGACATTACATCCCTTGTGTATGTGACATCACATCTCTGTGTATACACTACATCCCTTGTGTGTGTATGACATCACATCTCGGTGTATACACTACATCCCTTTGTGTGTGTGTGACATCACATCTCTGTGTGTATACATCCCTTGTACTACATCATCTCTGTGTATACACTACATCCCTTGTGACATCACATCTCTGTGTGTGTGACATCACATCTCTGTGTACACACTACATCCCTTGTGTGTGTGACATCACATCTCGGTGTATACACTACATCCCTTGTGTGTGTGTGACATCACATCTATGTATATACACTACATCCCTTGTGTGTGTGACATCACATCTCGGTGTATACACTACATCCCTTGTGTGTGTGACATCACATCTCTGTATACACACTACATCCCTTGTATGTGTGACATCACATCTCGGTGTATACACTACATCCCTTGTATGTGTGACATCATTTCTCGGTGCATACACTGCACCCGTTGTGTGTGTATGTCATTGTGTATGTGTGTTTTTGTGTGTGAGTGATGTGTGTGTGAGAGAAAACGTCACATATCTGTGTATGCACTAAGGTATATTTCTCCAAGATATATATATTTGATGCTACTCCCTGACGCACAAATTTCCAAGTACGACTGGTCAGTAGTTATGGGCTGAGACCCTCATCGGTTTTTTAGGAAAGAACTGCTTTTTGTCCCACTGACTGAGGAAACAAGAGCGGAATGTTCACGGCCAGATACTCAAACACAGTCATAACAGGTAACATTCTAAATACAAGTTACATTCCCATCTGTGACTACTCCTAACAAGTAAAGAAACTATACCGCCAAATAGTTAAAGACGGATGATAGCCGTTTTCACTCATAGGCTCGGCCTGGTGTTATTATATCTTACCAAAGCCGCACTTCCCGAGGAGGACCCGCCACAGTCAAGTGACTGATCATGTGGGTGTCTCACTGGTCCTCTGGCATTCAGGAAGCTGGATCCACTGATACACATGTCCTCACACGATGTCTTGCCGATGATGTTACCACCTACAAAAACACCAACACCGACAGTGACGTACATACTAACAGGTGACATTGTGATCTAGACACACACACCAACAGTGACGTACATACTTACAGGTGATGTGTGATCTACAAACACACACCAACAGTGACGTACATACTTACAGGTGATGCATTGACCTAGAGGCACACACCAACAGTGACGTACATACTTACAGGTGATGCATTGATCTAGAGGCACACACCAACAGTGACGTACATACTTACAGGTGATGCTGTGATAGAGACACACACCAACAGTGACGTACATACTTACAGGTGATGCTGTGATCTAGACACACACCAACAGTGACGTACATATATTAACAGGTGACATTCTAGACATACACCAACAGTGACGTACATACTTACAGGTGATGCTGTGATCTAGACATACACCAACAGTGACGTACATACTTACAGGTGATGCTGTGATCTAGACACACACCAACAGTGACGTACATACTTACAGGTGATGTTGTGATCTAGACACACACACACCAACAGTGACGTACATACTTACAGGTGATGCTGTGATCTAGACACACACACACCAACAGTGACGTACATACTTACAGGTGATGTTGTGATCTAGACACACACACACCAACAGTGACGTACATACTTACAGGTGATGCTGTGATCTAGACATACACCAACAGTGACGTACATACTTACAGGTGATGTTGTGATCTAGACATACACACCAACAGTGACGTACATACTTACAGGTGATGCTGTGATCTAGAGACACACACACCAACAGTGACGTACATACTTACAGGTGATGTTGTGATCTACAAACACACACCAACAGTGACGTACATACTTACAGGTGATGTTGTGATCTACAAACACACACCAACAGTGACGTACATACTTACAGGTGATGATTGTGATCTACAAACACACATCAACAGTGACGTACATACCTACAGGTGATGTGATCTACAAACACACACCAACAGTGACGTACATACTTACAGGTGATGTTGTGATCTACACACACACACCAACAGTGACGTACATACTTACAGGTGATGTTGTGATCTAGACACACACCAACAGTGACGTACATACTTACAGGTGATGCTGTGATTCAGACATACACACCAACAGTGACGTACATACTTACAGGTGATGCTTGTGATCTAGACACACACACCAACAGTGACGTACATACTTACAGGTGATGCTGTGATCTAGACACACACCAACAGTGACGTACATACTTACAGGTGATGTTGTGATCTAGACACACACACCAACAGTGGCGTACATACTTACACAGGTGATGTTGTGATCTAGACACACACCAACAGTGACGTACATACTTACAGGTGATGTTGTGATCTAGACACACACACCAACAGTGACGTACATACTTACAGGTACAGGTGATGCTGTGATCTAGTTGTGACACACACCAACAGTGACGTACATACTTACAGGTGATGCTGTGATCTAGACACACACCAACAGTGACGTACATACTTACAGGTGATGTTGTGATCTAGACACACACACCAACAGTGACGTACATACTTACAGGTGATGTTGTGATCTAGACACACACACCAACAGTGACGTACATACTTACAGGTGATGCTGTGATCTAGACACACACACCAACAGTGACGTACATACTTACAGGTGATGTTGTGATCTAGACACACACACCAACAGTGACGTACATACTTACAGGTGATGCTGTGATCTAGACACACACACACCAACAGTGACGTACATACTTACAGGTGATGTTGTGATCTAGACACACACACCAACAGTGACGTACATACTTACAGGTGATGCTGTGATCTAGACATACACCAACAGTGACGTACATACTTACAGGTGATGCTGTGATCTAGACATACACCAACAGTGACGTACATACTTACAGGTGATGTTGTGATCTAGACATACACCAACAGTGACGTACATACTTACAGGTGATGCTGTGATCTAGACATACACACCAACAGTGACGTACATACTTACAGGTGATGCTGTGATCTAGACACACACACCAACAGTGCAGTACATACTTACAGGTGATGTTGTGATCTAGAAACACACCAACAGTGACGTACATACTTACAGGTGATGTTGTGATCTACAAACACACACCAACAGTGACGTACATACTTACAGGTGATGTTGTGATCTAGACACACAGACACACGAGTGCAGTACATATTTACAAGTGATGATGTGACCTAGACACACCCACCAACAGCTGAGGTATTGCCCTGGAGGTTCACACAACAACTATGGCATGACTGACACTTCATTATTTGACTTGTAGGTTCAGTGTGGTATTCTCTCCACATATGTTACAGAACATACACAAAAAGAAACAGACTTTCAGAGACAATATCACACTTTAATGCATATATCATATCATGCATGTGTGTATCTTGTAACGGGTCAACGTATGGCCTCTCGGAACATTATTTCAGTGGTATAACAGAACGTCAGCTTAACGCCTGTCCGAATCCTGGTGTGACGAAGGATACAGACATATCTACTTTGGTGACACCAACGAGCAAGGATATGGCGTTAGCTGACTTAGAATCAAATTGGGGCCTGGGTTTGAATGGACGATTCTATGAGGACATCCAGACGACAACTCTGCAAATCGAATTGCCTCGGGTCAGTGATCTTCCCATAACTCTCGTATACTAATCTCCTATTAGCATACAGCCTACCTGCATCTAAAATTCGCGTCACGACTGTGGCGTCGAACTCAGGAACATAGCCCTCCAGGAGACGACTTCCGTTCATCATGGGCACTCCAGCCACAGCAATGTTGTCCTTGACCCCGACTGTTTTGCCGACCAGTAGTCCGGAGCCAGAGCCCTTGATGTCACACCGCCAGTACCTTTATTCACACATTACCGTCAATACCTGGTGCTACACCACTGGGACCTAAATCCAGTATCACACTTGGTCTTCAACCATGATGCCCTAAAACTAAGACCTGCAATCAACATCACACATGACCTTCAGTACCTGATGTTACACAACTAAGACCTGCATTCAACATCACACATGACCTTCAGTACCTGATGTTACACAACTAAGACCTGCATTCAACATCACACATGACCTTCAGTACCTGATGTTACACAACTAAGACCTGCATTCAACATCACACATGACCTTCAGTACCTGATGTCATTCAACTAAGACATGACCTTCAGTACCTGATGCATTCAACATCACACATGACCTTCAGTACCTTACACAACTAAGACCTGCATTCAACATCACACATGACCTTCAGTACCTGATGTTACACAACAACATCAACACATGACCTTCATTCAACATGCATTCACATCACACATGACCTTCAGTACCTGATGTTACACAACTAAGACCTGCATTCAACATCACACATGACCTTTCTGATGTTACACAACTAAGACTGATCACACATGACCTTCAGTACCTGATGTTACACAACAGACATTCAACATCACACATGACCTTCAGTACCTGATGTTCAGACATCAACACACATGACCTTCAGTACCTGATGTTACACAACTAAGACCTGCATTCAACATCACACATGACCTTCAGTACCTGATGTTACACAACTACCTGATGTTACACAACATCACAAGACCTGCATTCAACATCACACATGACCTTCAGTACCTGATGTTACACAACTAAGACCTGTCATCAACATCACACATTAGCGTCAAGTTTACATCATCCGTGTAACATTGTGTGACCATGACAACCACTTGCTGTAAATAACAATGACTGAGAACGACGGCCCAGGTTATGCTACGAAATTAACCATGATCGTACCTCCTAAAATCTGTCGTAAACTAGTTTCTAAGCCCAGCTCTGTATTGTCACATAACAGCTACCTGACATATTGTACACTGTACATTTATAGAGAATATTCACAGGTGAAACAGTAGATTGTTAGATCGTATGAAGTATCAGTGTTAAGCAAAACTTTAGGTTTCCATATCTGTACACACTACACACGTGAAATTAGAAATCTGGCATTATACGTGCTACTCTGCCTTGACAGATTTAATGCTTAATGTGTTAATTTCAATCATGTCGATAATTACACCCGATATAACTTCTGGCTTCTGCATCCTTACAAACAACAACAAAGAAGGCTTTGAAAGAGAGTAACGAATTGTGAATGAGTTTAGTTTTACGCCGCTATTAGCAGTATTCCAGTAATATCACGACGGGTGACACCAGAAATAGGCTTCACACATTGTAACATTTGGGGTATCGAAACCAGGTCTTCGGCGTGACGAGCGAACGCTTTAACAACTAGGCTACCCCACCGCCCAGAAGTGACGACATGAAGTGTACCAGGCGTTGCAGGGGTTGTCGGCCTGTGTTGGTCTGTGTCCTGGAGTCCGGGGGTACTTGACGGGGAGGGAGAGGTCAGGGAGGTCGTACACACGCTGTAGACTTGTTGAGTATTTTCTGAACGTGTCTGGAATGTGGAGAAAACATTGTTTACTGAGAGACTTTCATCTACGCATGACATCCATTTATCTACAAACAGTCCATCAGAAGACTGAAATGGCTGGTTAAATTGTGTGTATTTACGAGTATCCTGAACATCTTTAATTTAATGTGTTTTGGAATTAATACACACAAAAGGGGCGGTGAGGGTGATTTATTTGAGTCCACATCTGCAATACGAGGAACACGACTTTCAGGAGTAGATTCTCAATCAAATGTGTCTTGGTGCGTTTTCGTGTAGCCTCGTGCGGTTTTGTGTGAAGTGACGTGGCTCGGCGTTGTTTGTTGTGTTTTAGTGTGATTTGGTCTGGCATCGTGTGGCTTAGTGTGGAGTCCACGTAACTTGGCTCGACATGGTTCGACGTGGTTTGGGGTGGTTTGGTATGGTTTGGTGTGGTTCGATGTTGTTTGTTGAAGCATTGTGTGGTTTGGCGTGGCTCGATGTGGCTCGATGTGGCTTGGCGTGGCTATTGTAAATGCTGTTATCTTGACGAACCTCGGACTCCTTCGATGTCGTCATCACTACAGCCAAGGCGAAGTTCTTGAGACAGGTTCCGGAGATCATCACTTGTTGCCAGGACAACGGCAGGTGACTGGTAAATCCCTTTGAAACGAAATGCAATTCTCTTACTTTTTATCAAGAAATCGGAAATCAACTTAAGCAATAACTTCTATTTTAAGCTTTCAAAATTACAACCAAGACATAAGTGATGGCAACAATGTTTGTCCTCCAGTATTTCAACACTTCATTCCAGGAACCACAGATGTGATCGTTTAGCTGAAAGATACAGGAACATTGATGTCCCAATAAACAAATGTATCACTGAAAATATACATTTAACTTGAGTCCCCGACATGCATGCATGCATGCATGCATGGATGGATGCATGCATGCATGTATGTATGTAATATATATGTATACATATATATATATATGTAGAAGAAAACTACCTTTGCGTTTGTCAGCCATTGGAATTCAGGGTTTCCTCAATTTTAGCCTGGAAAGGAACAATGCTTACTTTAATCATCTTCTCGCAAACACCAGTTGTTTGCGATTCACAAAGTACATGCGTAGGATCAAGTCAATACCGACGATATCTTCTAGCTACTACAGCTAATCTACAGCCATTGAAGAGATAGGTTTTCAGGCGCTGATTAGTATGAACAACAACAATAGCTGACCATTGCATGCCTTAGTGATTCCATGGATGGTGGACACGGCAGATAAAGGGCTTATGGTCTTAAATGTGTTTTTATAATGACGGTATCTGACCAATGTGACACCTAGCATGGTAAGATCTTGGAACATTCGCAGTATGTCCTTACTCCACAATCAGCACAGTTTGTCACAATACCAAATCTCAAACATACAAATATCGCTTCTAGATCTACGATACCTGCGGTCCGTGTTCACGTTGTTGATGATCTGAGAATGAAACCTGCCGCTCTTACAAAAACAACAACGCGACAGTTTTCAAAGAAAAATATGTTGCGTGGTTGCATTGTCACCCTCATCAAAGTGCATCAACAAGGCGTTCAATGCGCAACAATGCATCAGTGCGACTCATTGATGTACAGTTAATGTAATCATGCGCAGAAATAGTTAACACCAGTGGTTCTTTGCAAGCTCCAATGGATCGAAAAATATTTACCTTTTCTTGCAATTGAAACAAATCATCCATTCATTTACAAATTGGATCAAACATTGTTAATGTCGGTGTCGTTTTTCATAAATGGATACCAGGTAGAATAACGTGACAATATGGCTAATAACCCTCCAGCATTTCAATGGCAGCTTGGGTCGTACACAAAGCTGGTCGCTGAGAAAGATAGGGTGATTGCTTTTAACGTGATATTCAGTGTGGAAAATAAATACAAATTAGAAGATAAAGCTACTCTGTTTTCAATTGCGGTCCTTTAGATTTAGAAGCTAACTCTAATTTTTAAATCGAACGCGTTTTGCGGTTTTAAATTAAACATTTAGCGGTCTTAAATCAACGGCAAAGGACCGCAACATTGAAACAGAGTAGCTTTATCTTCATTCTAGCACGACTGATAAGCGGTTTAAAACCGAACTGTTTGGCGCGCAAGAACATGAGGCCTGAAGGGGCCGTTTTCCTGGAAATCGCATGGAATCGTCTCGCTGAGTGACAGGTTGTGTAATGAGCAAAATAAGACATTTTCAAGAACATAAATATTTCAGGAACCAGTATGCTTGTATTTGTAACAAGTAGCATACAGAAATAAGCAAGTGAGCAAGTTCAATTATTTGATTTTACTCAAGCGAATTATTTATCTCCCCTACTGTATGACAATTGACTCGCCCCAATTGAAGCTGTGAACTCGCAAAGTTTAGTCGCCGCTAACTTTATTCACGGAAATAATTATTGATAACCACCTTACTATTCCCAATTTGGAAAAGATCTGACATGCCACGTTTTATGTGGGATACATGGGCAGTGGAAGTGGAAGGACTGGGCATTACGGCCGGGGCGGAAGCGGTCAGGGCCTAGATTTTCGAAGCTCTCTTAGTGCTAAGATACGACTATCTTAGCGCTAAGAGAGCTTCGAAAATCTAGGCCCAGGTTAGGGCGTGTCGTCCGACGTGTGTTGTCGACGTCATGCCCGCTAGATCTAGACCCGGTTTGAATTCTGCCGCTTTTGTGCTGCTGACGAATTTTCCAGCTTCGTAGTTTGTTCACTGGAATAACGGACAAGATATTCTTCTTCAAACCATTAGCTTTTTACTTCAAAAACATCAAAGATGCTGCCGAGGTAGAAATCGCCGATGTCCGACATGTTTGTTTACAAACAAGAGGGCCAACAAGTTCATTGTATTCATACGCGGTGAATCGGTCACTTTAAATAATTAGCGGTCTTAAACTGCCATTTAAGTATTTGACACGAAAATAGCACCTATTTTGCTTTATGGCGCTGAAATTTGGGGATATACATATAAAGCAGATATAGAAAAGCTTCAGGGCTCGTTCTTCAAGAAGTAGTTAGGTTTAGGAAAATTTGTGTCTACAAAAGCTGTGTTAGGGGAGTTGGGCAGTTGTAGACTCGTGAGAATGAGTAGCCATAGGTATCCTCGAGCTTGTTATGAAATGCTTAAAGTATTTGACGAAAATGGAAATGTTAACTGGGTCTCTCATGTTCGTTCACTATTGTTTAAATTTGGATTTTCTTTTGTGTGGATTACACAAGACTTTGGCGACGTAGATGTATTTATGACAACGTTTAAGCAACGCTGCAAGGATATATGTTTCCAAACTTGGAGCAGTGATATTGGTAGTAGTTCTTTTCTTAAAGTTTATTCATCGTACAAGTCAGTTTTGGAAACAGAAGCGTATATAACTGCGTTTTCTTACACACCCGTGGGTGAGAAACCCATGTGAGAAAACTGGCATCACACATATGTGTGAGATCGATTTCTAAGCCCGTGATTGGCTCAACCATGGTGATGACCTAGGGTCAGGGTATGACGGACTACTTTCCTGATTAAAATTCATTGATAAGTTACTCGTGCTTCAATCGAACAGAAACCTGTTACTCGTGCAAAAAATACCCCTTTACACCTACCTGTTATTACGCGATTGCAACATAAACAGGTATTTATAAAATGAGTCACAAGTAGAATAAATATAACACAAATCTATTTATTTTCTAATTCCTTTTATTAAAACTTTTGATTTCTAGTTATGAATTCAAAATGGCTCCAACAATCAGTGATACCTGTGTAAACAGTTATGTGAAAATCACCGTTAGAGATAAAGCCCTTGATTCCCTTCGAATATTCAAAATGTACAACACTGGTACTTTTACTGGAGAGATGCGACAAGTGTCATGTGTCGTCTTGCAAAAATACCTGACACGATAACGTCAGTGCCTGTCCATTGTGAGATCGATTTGCCTCGTTGTTTCTTTGATGCATTGATGAAGCTGACATTTTTCACTGATACACATGATGAAGACCCACTTCCAGCTCCGAGATACTATTGTGATTCCAATGTTATCAAATTCACTCATGAGAATCTGAACCAAAACACACTCGTTGAAACAATGTACAACATGGTACGTTTTGCAAGGCTTCATGAGTGCAAATGGCGGCACACGTCCTTTCTATTCAATCGAACATGTACAGGAACGGTTGATCTACACATAAGTCATTGCTCAAGATATTCCTCCGACGCATGATAATGAAAGGTTTATGTCTTGATAACTTACAGGATGTAATCAACTCACATTTCATACTGACAACTCCGTAAATTCCGTTACATTCCAAGTGGCAGTTTCTGGCTCAGGAAAACAAGAAGGATGTGGCGAAGAAGAGTAGTCCCCCCATTGACAGTGAACGTAACCGCAGCAATGTCACATTCAAGCACACTAGGTGCACCTAATTACACACATTCAAAAGTTTTGGCTACGGTCGATGGGAGAATATTGAACGTAAACTGGTACACAAGTACAGATCCCCAATGTGCAGAGATATCCAAAACAATCTTCCGATGACGACAACCACCAAGCGATAACGATGACGTCACTCGCTCAAAATATTTTACGCTTGCAAGAATTAAAATCATCCACATTTGCATGGTATCATCATCGTTTCAGAGGGTTTAATTACTTTTCTGTGATCTTATCTAGTTATCATTATCACCATTGCCTTGATGATGCGAAGAGGTGGCAGAAACCTTTTTTGTGGAGGGTCACCATGGGGATGAGTAGTGATTAGGAAGCCAAGTGACGTCACTCATTCATAAACGTTGTGTTGTGTATTATTGCGCACCTACGATGAGAAAACATGAAATTTGAATCTATTCGACCATAAAATGGTGCGATTTTATGGTGTGTAAGAAACAGATTACTGTACTCGTGTCTGTCAGATACCATTTATCTTACAACTCGTTTAGTAAGATAAATGGTGACAGAACACTAGTAATCTCTATGTACACTAATAGAGACGTAGTTAATGTAAATTTGGTTGCTTATCGCACACTGGGTGTCCAACAGTTGCGTTTCAATAAAGACAATGCCGATAGTACTATAGCAATATGTATCAAGTGTCATTTAGATGGCGTAGAAGACGAATACCACTTTTTATTAGTATGTCCTTATTACCATACAAGTAGGATGCAGCTTATTCCTGGGTATTATCATATACATCCATCTGTCTTTAAGATTAAGCAGTTGTTATGCACAGAAAATATGAATGTTATTAAAAATCTAGCAATCTATCTGAAGAGAAACCTACCTGTTTGACTGCTATATATTGATGTACTATATTTATGTATATGTATTGAATGCGCACAAACAAAACATTATGTATTTTTGTACTCTGGGCCATGAAGCCGTTATGCGAATAAACTCTCTCTCACTCTCTCTCTTAAGAACGGTTTTGATGAGCTCTCAGCCAATCAGAATCGAGTATCACACAATGTCGTGCTAGCATAGATTGTTATGGTTGCTATAAACCATGCTCGCTCTCGTTCACATGGATAAATACGCTTTGAAGAGTGTTGCCCTCTTGGCGTGTCACAAACCTATAATCGTTGGTTCGAATTCTTTATTTCCTATTCACCTACGTCACGTTCGGTTCTCCTCACACGTTTTGTTTGTTTAGCGCCGCAATCAGCAACATTCCAGATATATGGCGGTGATCTGTATATAATAGAGTCTGGACCAGACAATCCAGTGACCCAGCAGCATGAGCATCGATCTACGCAACTGGGATACGATGACATGTGTCAACCAAGTCAGCGAGCCTGGCCACCTGGCAATATGAACAAACTCTGCAAGTACAGTGTCACATGGACACTGTCAGTCCCTTATATACTCATGAAGAAAGTAAGGGAACCTGAACTTTCAATTTGGATAGGAAGTATAGCGTTAACAAACCTTTCAAAGACAGACATCTTATGAACGCACCACCATTTCTATTTATCACCACCCCTAAACACAACGCAGTAGCCCCATACACGTGCATGAGGTGTCATTCTTGATTTGGATGGATTTTATAAAGGTCGATAAATCACTGTGGACCATTAGTTTTGACAGTCATCTTGCTGTTGTTAGTGTTTGCTTTTAGTCGTTTTGGTTCCAATATGAAAATCTTACACAGGCAAATTTCACGTCAGACACCAATCATCTTTCAAGAGCGATTTCTGTACAAACAACTATGGTCATAAGGTAGCGCAAGTGGTGGTGCACTCTCAAAACATTCATTATTATCATATCAACATTCATTGACTCCGATATATCTCCCAGTTCTTTCAACTGTAAATTAAAATTGAAGTTCCCTATCTTTTTAAGAGTATATGTTCAATGGGGAACTGGAACACCAATCCAGAAATCAAAGCAACATTTATGTGTTGCAATTTCCATAAACCTGCCTCCCCTACCAATTGATGAGTTCTTTTGTACGAACAGGCTACAGTCCAATTTCTGTTTCATGACGGCAGCAAAATAAAGATCAATACAAAGCGAAGGTGCCTGTACACGTGCATAGGATCATGCAAGATCAGTTATGAAAATTTATCTCCGAGCGTAAGAACTCCTCTTATTGACCTATTACAAAATCAGTTTATCAAACAACTTTGCAGAGATGCACCTGCCCCATAAACAACCGCTATAGTAATGACTTTACTTACCGTGTTTATTCCTTCTTTCAGTGATATTTTCCTTGCGAAACGGTTTTAAAGCAATGTTAATATGCAGAGTTATGCATTTAATCATCGGAGCAAATGGTATAGAGCATGTGCCGGACGGTGGAAACGTTCCACTCCTGCTCGCTTAAACTATGGCGTAACAACAGGGTAAAACCAGTTCATGCATAAATACATACATTTGTTCACAGATGTCGCCCATACAGCAGTGACGATCGTTGTATCCCATCCGATCGTGGGCGGTG